GAGATGTTGTTCATACTGCTACCTACCTAATCAACCGTATGCCCTCCAGGGTCCTTGGCTTTAAAACCCCCTTTAGTCTTCTCTTCCCAGATGAGGATCTCTTTTCTCTCCCTCTCCGTGTCTTTGGGAGTACTTGTTATGTGCATATTCATAGTCACCAAAGGCATAAATTTGAATCTAAGGCTCATAAGTGTGTGTTTTTGGGATATGCCTCTACACAAAAGGGTTATTGTTTTGAGGAGAATGGTAAACAATTCTTTATTAGGGTATAAAAGGGTGAATGGAGTTTTCATGTCAAGAACCCATGAGGGAATCCAATTGATAAGATAAACTGTTGTAAGAATGACATCCCCCCAAAAACATATAGGCACATTTAAGGTAAACATAATGCCCCTAGCTACCTCCAATATGTATCTATTCTTTCATTCAGCAACTCTATTCTGCTGTGGTGTATGTGGGCAGGTCTCTGATGGATAATCCCATGATCAAGCATGTAAGAGGCTAATGGGTTTGAAAAATATTCTTTTGCATTATCGGATCTAAAAATTTTAATTTTGACCCCAAATTGGGTTAAAATCATTTGATGAAAGATCCGGGTTAATGCTAGAACTCATCTCAAAATGCATAAGGTAAACCCAAGAAAATTGAGTATAACCAGCAACAAATAATAGGAAATATCTGTACCCTCCCATGGCAGTGTTATGATAGGGTCCCCAAACATCAGTATGCACAATTTCAAAAGGAATATCGCTTCTATTATTACTTAATGAATAGGTAGTCCTGCAATGTTCTGCAAACTCACAACTTTCACATTTCAAACTTGTCATCTGGACAGATTCAAATATACTAGGAAACAAACTTTTCAAAGCCTAAAAGGATAAATGGCCCATCCTATTATGCCAAAGCATCACCTTATCAACAGACTGAGAAACAAAGGATTTCTTAGTTTCACTATCTTCCTGATGAGCACTTCCTCCAAGTAGGTAGATTCCATTTGTCTCACGGGCAGTCCCAATCACCTTCCTTGTTTCCAAATCCTGAAAAACACATCGATCAGGAAAAAAGGTTACTGAACAATTCTGTTTTTTTGTAATGTTACTAATTGAAAGCAAGTTAGTATTAAGCTTAGGAACATGCAGGACGGAGGATAGGGAAATTGAATCAGACGACTTGATGTCCCCTTTGCCAGAAATAGGAACAAGGGATCCATCATGGATACTTTGTCTTTACTAGAAGAAAAATGATAGATAGAGAAAAGTGATGGCAAGCCAGTCATATGGTTAGATGCTCCTGAATCTATTATCCAATAATGTTCTGTATTACCTGGAGCTGAAGCATGATAAGCTAAGGCCCAATTACCTAATTGAGCAAAGGATGATGTTGAAGGAGCTGATGATGAATGAGGAGATGATACTGCGTTACTGACTTCACTTTCCAATTGTGTCAGAGCAGCTCGGACAGCAACTAGGGTGTCTAGAGGAGTGCCTCTTGAGGCCGTTGAGGCTGCACTATCAGTGTTGACAGCCATATTGGCATTCCCCTTTTGGTTTCTGAGTTTTGCTGGAACTAGATGTGGATGCAGCTTCCAACAAGTGTCTTTAGTGTGTTTAGAATTCTTGCAATGTTCACAAACTAAGTCCTTTTTAGCCTCTTTCTTCATATCCCTTTCCTTTTCTCCCCCGGGCTTGGGCTTAATTGCTGCCAGGGCAGATTCGAAAGGTTGCTGCTGTAACATAACCTTTCTCCTAGTTTCTTCGTTGTGCACTAGGGAATAGGCTTGAGACAGGGTCACACTTTCTCTTGTTAATAGCTGCTGTCTAACAATATCATACTCAGAATTTAGGCCAGCCAGGAACTCAAATACTCTGTTAGTTTCAACTTGCTTTCTGTAAGTCTGTGCATCTTTCTGACTCTCCCATTCAATTGTCTTAAGGTGGTCAATCCCATGCCATAGAGATTTTAGGGTTGAAAAATAAACAGAGATCTTGTTTGTGATTTTTAACCTCACATTTCAACTCATAAGCCCTAGCAACATTAAGGGGCTAAGAGTAGGTTTCTTTCACAACATCCCATATTTCTTTAGTTGTTTTTGCCCATAAGTAATTTCGGCTAATAATTTTCCTGAATCCACTTAGCATAAGTGGGATCCTCCTTAGTTGGTTCCTTCACATCTCCCAACAAATAGTTCAGCTTTCCTCTTCCCCCAATGGCCATCATGGCTAATTCGGCCCACTCTAAGTAGTTTGAACCATCAAACTTTACAGTTGTAATCTGGAAGGTGTTTTCAGTCATGCCACCTAAACCAGTCCTAAAAACACCCTCTCCTTGGCTCTTAAACTCCATTCTTAGGAGTTAATTAAAGGGCACTTCCTAATTATTATACCAGTTGGCCTACTGGGTCCGTAACTAGTAGTTGGACTAGAAGAATTCTGATTCAGTAAAAGAAACCTTTCTAATTACTGTGGTAATCGGCCTACTGGGTCTCAAGACTGATAACAGAAAAAAAAAAACTAATTCAGCTGTAACAGTCCTGGTGAAACAGCTCTACTGGGTCTTCCAAAGAGTAAAGAATAACTTTAAATCGAGGGAGACAAATCTGATTACCTCCCTGAAATAATAACAGTCCTGAATCCCGAGGGTTTTCTCTTAAACCCCAAAAGAAATATAGAAAGGAGAAAATTTTCTAACCGTACCTCTTAGATCAAGTTATTCTTGCTGCCAATCTTAAGAAAGATTGAAATCTTACCAAGGAATTCTGAAACACTTTTTTTTTTTTTTTTTTATCAAAGAACTTCTGAAATTCTGATCGTCTCTTCCAGTGTTGAAAAGAAAAAAGGCTGATCTCAAACCAAAATTCCTCTGAAATTCTGATAGCCACCTGATCTTGATCCTCTTATCTTTCTCTGATTCTTCCTAGTTATCAAGGATCGATCCAATCTTTGGCCTGCTGCTATAGATAACCTCCAAGAATCAGCCAAAGAACTGATCTTTCTATTCTTCCATCCCTAAGCATTTCTCATGTGGTCAGCTGGATCAAACTCACATGAGAAGCCCTAGATCTTGCTCTGATACCAAGTAGTCGTACAAGACTACAAATATCTCCTAGGTTTTGAACAGAAAATAAAGAAAGGAAGAGAGAAGAGGAGAAGAAAAAGAAGAGAGATGAAGAGGGAGAACTTGTGGAGAGGTTTTAGAAAGAAGAGAGTGGTTGGTGTATTGAAACAGCCGCCCCACCCCTTAATTTATATACATAATTTCCTAATTGTAAAATAACTCAATGCTTACATGGCAAGATAAGATAAGATTAAAATTAAAACTAATCCTAGATAAGATAAAATAAAAAGAAACTAATCCTACTAGGAAAGCTGATTAAATCTAAGTACATCCCAAGGTGTCACACGAATACTAATGTGGGGTCCACAATTTCCTACACAAAACAACTACAACCAAAGACTAAGAGGAAGACAGAAGATGAGACCATTAGGGAAAAGATATTGATGAGGAAACTAAAGGTGAGGAATCCATGAAGGAAGTCCATTAATGAGATACATTATTGCTTTAACTGCATCTCCCAAGAAATGAGTAGGCACGTGCGTCTATAAAAGTAGCTCTTTGGCAACTTCAACCATGTCTATGTTTTCTCTCTACCACACCTTTTGCAAAGTATGGAAATATGAGCCTGATGAATTGTTCCTTTTTCTTCAAGAATGAGTCATAGATATCTGAGCCGGCCAGAAGAAGGGGCGAGCCAACTACTAGACCACAGGAGGTTCATAGCAGGCCATGTGACTTTTTAAGTTGTCACGTGGGTCGGGTGAGGGAGAGGGAGATGGTAGATGATTCCCATCTATCATCTTCCAAGATAGGCGCGGCTGAAATGAACCTGGTACAGAGGTGGCGAACAGAAAGAGAACCCAGATCTCTGAGATGGGTCTCTCAGCGGGGTGTTGACGAACAAGCTTCTTGTGCAATAGATCGCCCTAATCCGCACTACTTGAGGGACAGAACAGAAGAAAGGGAAGAGGAAGATAAAGGTTGGTTAAGCTACAGTTCGGAGAACAAAGATGAGGAGGAGAGTTCAGGAGAGACCTCAAGCCTAGGGAGTTTGGAAGATGAAGAACTCCAAGAAGATCAAAACAGGGAGACTAAATCTGGAGTGTCTATTTCTTGGAGATTGGGAGGGCACACAAAAGGAGATCGCGGAAGTACGGAAGAACAAGACGGAAATCACCAACAGAACAGCTCAAATAGATGGGGGGCAAATCCAATGCCCACAAGTGGATAAGCCTTCACCAAGCCTTAGCATAGTTGTCAAGGCAACGCCTAGGCGACAAGGCGACCTTTGAGGCTCGCCTCGCTCAATCGCATAACAGTTTTCTACTTCCTACTATAAAATACTTTTTGGTTCATT